CATGACGTTCTCTTCTGGTACCCATATTCCTTTCCCATAGAAGGCTCTTAGTTCTCTTGGTGAGTCAGCATAGAAGCGGACTGGCTGAGTGGTTATCCATTCCAGCAAAGTTAATTCCATTCCTGTTGCATATTTTGCATTTTGCTCAGAGAGGAAGAGGTAGAGTATGAATAGTTAAAGAACTGATGGCAGCATGGCTCCTAAACGTTCTCTTCTGGTACCCATATTCCTTTCCCATAGAAGGCTCTTAGTTCTCTTGGTGAGTCAGCATAGAAGCGGACTGGCTGAGTGGTTATCCATTCCAGCAAAGTTAATTCCATTCCTGTTGCATATTTTGCATTTTGCTCAGAGAGGAAGAGGTAGAGTATGAATAGTTAAAGAACTGATGGCAGCATGGCTCCTAAGTGAGGGACCTAAATTGGTGTAGAAAAATCGACCAATTAGATTTTCAAAATTAGTGATAAATTAGTTTTTCTGTTATGAGCCACATGATGATTTATTGAATACAATATATTTAGTCTTAGCATCCCTTCAAGGGATTTCTTGTCTTTTTAGAGACCCTTCTTGTACATATAAGCTTTGTTTGTAATGGCACCTTGGGTGACAGAGCTTCAGGAGCTGAAGCCAATGTAATCCTTTAGCAGTAATTCTGTATCTGACTACTTAATCCATATCCCTGAACTGCCTGATGTAAATTATTTTTTTCCTCCTTTTTATAGTGTTGCTAGTCAAATTGTCAGATTTTGCATGCTTTTATATTCCTTGACTTTTTCACAGACATGTTACTTGACCTCAGTGACCTTCTTCAGGTATTGTATCTGTTTAACTCTTGTCTTAAAATATTATATTTTAAAAATGAATACAAGCAAAGAACTAGAGTGTGCTATTTAGGAAATTGTAATCTGTTTCTTAAAGATTATGGGCAGGAAAATCATAGGGCTTGTAAATCAGAGTAATTATTTAGTGACATTAAAGTTCAAGCATTTGGGGTTTTTTTAAACTCACAAATAACAAATATTCACTTTTAATATAATCTTTCTTCAGTGATCACAAAGTCACTGCAGTGGCACAAGATCCGATTTCACACATTTTTAAAACAGCTGTTAGACAGAAATAGCTTTTGTTAAGTAATACAATATAAATGGATCTATGAAATGCTGTGATATTTTTGTAAAATCTATTTTGATTTGTGTGTACTTGAAGCGTGTGTGGATATAGCACTCAGAATGTGCTTGTGGGTGCATGCACGTGCACAGTCTCTTCTCATATCATATGTCTATTTTACAAACAGTACAAGTAGGATGGATTAGTTTATTTTTGTCCTTGCAGCTGTCTTTGTAGATGGCATCCCTCTGAAGGTTATTTATTGCTTAAAAGAATCTGATGGAATTACAATAATGACTCTTTAATTCTTAAAATAATGAACAGTCTTCTAATCTGCTACAAACATTGAATGTGTTAAGCGTGCTTAGTTATAACCAAACAGAGAGCATGAGTGTGTTGTGCACATGTATGTTTGGTGAGTGAGGGAAATTTATTATTTATTATCAGATCTGATAAATTTATTACCAGTTCTCAAACCTAGAGATCTGATTATTTGTATGTAGATTACTACAAATAAGATCAATAAGATGATGAAACATGGAACAGATTTAATTGTGGTCAGAGATCTGGGGTCAGAGGCTTGCCCCTGCCCTGCTGTTCCCTCCCCTGAGCAATGTGATCTGGGACATTACGGGAGCCTGGTGTGCTAGCAGCAGGGGTCAGCTCCCCACCAGTGTTCCCTGTAAGATTTTCCATCCATGAGTGGAGTACGTTTTGTCTTGTGCACCAACAATGAGGGACTGTGTGCTTGTTTGGATGGGTGCCACTGTGGCAACCACCAGTGGCGCTGCTCTCTGAGACACTCTCTCCCAGCTAGTACCCACTCCCCTCATGGGGAGAAAGTGAGACCTGCCACCCCTCCCCCCCTCCAGGGAGTGCTGCTCTCTAGGCAGCCTTTGTGCAGGGCAGGGGATGCCCTGGGCTGCCCTTTGGGGGGCTGGCTGTGAGCCCCCATGTCGGGCAGAGGGAAGCTGCTGCCTGTACCCAGGCATTGCAGAGAGTGAGGCACTGTGGATAGAGCAATAACGTGTGGAGCTGGGGTGGGGAGAGGATTGGGGACTAGGCGGCTCTGCAGGGAGAAGGAAAGGAAAGGAAAGGTGTGGGACTGGGGGAAAAGGAGATGCCAGGGGCCTCAGCCCCAGAAGCCACCACACTGCTGCCTGGCTGCTGGAATAGACCTGGCACCCCAACGCGCGGCAGGCTCCAGGTGTGCCCCCAAAATGCAACTTTGGCACAGGCCTCCAGTTGCCAGATCAGAGCCCCAACTGCCAGAGCATACGCTGCTTCCCCCCCTCCCGGCCACATTACTGCAGCAGGCCCTGACCTCTGGAACAGGCTCTGGCCCCCTACTATGCAGCAAGCCCTGGCTCTCCACCGCGGCAGGGCTGGCCCCCCAAGCAAGCCCCAGCTGCTACAGCAGGCTCCAGCTGCCTCACCATGTGGCCAGAGCAGGCCCCTCCTCCCTGGCCATGTGGCAGGTTCCAACCAGCCCCCACCATGTGGCTTTGGCACAGGCCCCTTTGAGATCAGCCCCCCAGCCTCCCGTCCCCACCACGTGGCCACAGCAGGTTCCGGCCACTGCAGCAGGGCTCCCCCCCACGCAGCTGCGGGGGCTGCGGCTGCCAGAAGAAGCCCTGCAGCACTCCACCACCACCAACAGGCCTCAGCAGGCCTCCCCAGTGGCCCCCCCACTACGAGGCCTCAGCTGGCCCTGCTGGCAGGAGCAGCCCCCTGTTGGGCCATTCACCTTCCAGCAGGAAGGTGAGTTCTGCTGTGCGGCTCTGCAAAGGAGGTAGGTGGATAGAGACATTATTTGTGCACAACTGCACTGGCATGCATCTTAGAGGGAACACTGCTCCCCCACCCCCCAACTTCCCATGCAGGTGATGGGAGCTGGAGCAGCCTGGCAGCTTGCTTTGCTTTGTGCTGCTCTTTCAGCCCGGTGCATCTCAGTTCTCTGTGGCAGCAGGAAGTGGAGTGCCCTCTGGATACTTCTCGCTGCTGCTGAGAAGCCAAGCTCAGCAGGCTGGGAGACAGTGGCGGGGCCCCCTGGAGCAGGCTGCTAGACCACTCTGGCTCCCGCTACTGCGGTGAGTGTGTGGGAAGGTGGACCCTGGTAATCTCCTGGGTCCTGCCCACCTATAGGAGAGTTGCAGCAGCTGCCATCGGGTAGTAGCCCCAAACTCTCCTATGGACAGGATTGCTCTGATCAGAGGTATTGTATCTGCAAAAGATGCAGGAAATACAACAGAGTTGATTTTCTAATAGAGGTAGTGCAAATTTGTTTCCAGATTTTCTTTTTTACAATTTAAAAAAAAAAGGGAGGAAAAAAGGAACTTAAAGGACCTGAATGGCTTTTAATCCTCAGATACTTTTTATCAGGGAAAGTGAAGGTACAGATGATCCAAAAACGTAACTGTAGGGTTGGGAATAAATGTTATTTTTTGGAAGAAGATGTAGCAGTTAATACCTTGAACTCAACTACAATGGCCATGATACCTTCCAGCAGGATTGAGAGAGATTCAAGGAAATTAGAGAGGCTATAAAAATAGAAAACTCAGTAATAATGAGGGAATTTCAGTTATCCCTGTATTGACTGACGTCACCTCATGATGACATGCAGACAGAATTTCCACACATCATAAATGATTGCTCATTGGAACAGCTAGTACAGGTTGAACCTCTCTCTACTCCAATATCCCCGGGACCTGACTGGTGCTAAACTAGAGAATTTGCCATACTACGGGAAGTCGGTATCGTCTAGCAGCATCACCAACACTGGCAAAGCTTACTGAGCTCTTAAAAAAGGAAAAATTAACAAGATGGTTTAATAGGTGATGAGTTTTCGTGAGCCAGACCCACAAAAGCTCATCACCTATTAAACCATCTTGTTAGTCTTTAAAGTGCTACATAGCTTTTCCTTTTGTTTTAGCAAGATCAGACTAACACGGCTACCTCTCTATTACCATTGAGCTCTTAGAAGACATTTAGGGGTAAATTAGAGCTAAATAACAGCATAGAACACAGGAAGGCAAGACTGGTGGCAGTAAAGAAATGTTATTGGAATGCAAGAAACTTGTGGACATCTATCTAACTAAAATCATGCTGGATCATGGATGTTGTCAGACCAGATAGTTCCATACTAGAGATGTTCAGCCGGTACTGAGACTCACAAGAAGAGAGGCAATTCTTGTTTTAGTACTAAATGGCACACACAATATGGTCCAAAAGGTAAGTATAACTAAATCACTTGGTAACAGAGATCATACTATACATAAACGTATCATCTTTATGGGGGGAAAAGGGAAAAACCAAAAAACCCAACTTTAGCAGCATTTAACTAAAGAAAGGGAAACCTGCACAAAAATGAGAGAGCTAGTTAAATGGAAATAAAAATGTACAATCATAAAAGTGAAATGCCTGCGAGCTGCATGGAAACTTTTAAAAACACATTAGAGGCTTTATTTAAACGTATGCCCCAAATTAAAAAAACATAGTAAGGAAACCAAAGAAGCATCACCATGGTTAAACAACAAAGCAAACAAAACCATTTAGAGGCAAAAAGGCATCCTTAAAAATGTAAATTAAATCCTATTGAGGGACATAGGAAAGAGCATAAAATCTGGCAAGTCAAGTGTAAAAATCTGAGGAATTTTTACAAAGAGGAATCTGAAGAGCAACTTGCCAAAGACTAGAAAACTAACAGCAAAAAGCGTAAACATCAGAAGCAGGAAGCCTACCAAACAATCAATGAGCCCCCTGGACAGTCACAGTGCTAAAGGAGCACTCAAGGCATTGTGGATAAACTAAATGAATTCTTTGTATCAATCTTCACAGTAGAGGATGCGAGGGAGGTTTCCACACCTGTGCCATTCTTTTAAGGTGACACATTTGAGGAACTGTCCAAATTGAGATATCATTAGAGGTGGTTTTGGGACGGATTGATACATTAAATAGTAATATATCACTACAACCAGATGATATTCAAGAGTTCCGAAGGAATTCAGTTATGAAATTTCAGAGCTGCTAACAATGTTATGTAACCTATCTCTTAAGTCAGGTTCTGTATGAGATGACTGGAGAATAGGTAAGGTGACGCCTATTTTTAAAAAGGCTTAATTTCAGTACCAGGGAAATTGGTTGAAGCTGCAACACAGAATTATCAGTCACAGATGAATATGATTTGTTGGGGAAGACTCTACACTGCTTTTGTAACAGGAAATCATAACTCACTGATCGTAAGAGAGAAGGTCTTCTCATGGATCAATAACTGATTAAAAGTACAGCTATTAATTTCAGTTATTTAATGCAATTAATGTAAAACAAATTAACTAGATTTTAAAAAGTAGCAGTTAATCAGTTTTAATACTGTTCAATAATAGAATACCAATTTAAATTTATTATCCATATTTTTGATGTTTTTATAATTTTCATGTAAAATTATTTGTCTCAATGCACAATACAAAAATGTACAGTGCTCATTTTATATTATTTTATTACAGGTATTTGCATTGTAAAAAAAATAAACTACTATTTTTCAATTCACCTCATACAAGTCCAGCCTGGCCTACTTCTTGTTCAGCTAATTTCTAAGATGAACAGATTGGTTTTCATTCTCAGTCGATAATGTTGCCCACTTCTTATTTACTACATCACCAGAAAGTGAGAGCAGACATTTGCATGGCATTGCAAAGTATTTACTGTC